ATCTTCTTGTGATGATCTCTGGTAATCTGACTAAAATATTCCATTTATAGATTCATGATCCAATTGTAGCTGGGATGAATTGATTGATATGTTTAGTGAAATGTAGCAAGTTTGGACAAAATAAAATGGAATACTAAAGACAGATACGCAATGTAATCAATTGGAAAATTAGTGAACTTCATAAATATTAAATCAAGGCAAAACTTCACAAATATTAAACCAAGGCACCCCATTAATTAAAAAAAAAAAAAGAGAAAACTGTCATTCCATTTAAAATAACGCGCTATAGCGGTGCTATAGCGTGGACAACAATGCAACGCTGCAGCGTATAGCTGCCGCTATAGCACGGTGATAGCGGCCGCTATAGCGGCAATAGCGGCCAAATCTGGCAAACGCGAAATTTAATAGCTCGCTATTTGTTTCTTTGGTTGATACCATTGGATTGTTTGTGAAAATATATTTTTATACATATATTTTTGAAGAAAATCCGATGACTGGATCTCCGGTTGCATTCAAACAAAATTGAATGTGCAAGTTTTCATTTTTTCTTTTTTACACTTTAACACAAAGTTTCATGTATTATATGATAAAATTGAACATGTTGAAAAAGATAGAATCAAGAGCTGTGAAATAATATATGACTTGTTGAAATCCATCACTAATAGGCAGGCGAAGAACACGATTACTAGTGGTGGCCGACGACGGCAGTTGTCGGTGAAATGGCATATCTTCAATTATAACACGCTTTAAATTTAATAGTCTATTTTTTTAATTATTTTTATTTTTGTATATATGACTTTAAAATTAAGTTAAATTTGTATTTGTTATGAATCTAAATAAGTTATAATTAATAAAGTAAGTGTATAAAAGGTTTTCCGCTACGAGACAGACAACATAATTTTTTTGCCTCGTACATTAAATGTAGAATTTTTGTTTTTTTCAAAAATATAAAGTTGAGATTGAAATTTTGATCAAATTTTAATGGGTTGATGAGAGACTAAGTACTGTTAGCAGAGGAGTATATGATGCAACAAGGTCCCAAACAATTTGGGACTTTTTTTTTTTTTTTTTTTTTCTGAACGATAGAGAATAATCTTTCTTATCATTTATTTCATATTATTGCACTTCCTAAAAGCATGCAATTGTTTAAGTTTCCAATGTCATTCATTTATTCATTTTTTCTTCAAGATTTTGATTCATACTTACATAGGTAGATTCTTAGAAGTGCCTTCCATGGAGTTGGATGGCTATTTCCTAGTCTCCAACAAAACCACAATTATAATAATAATAATAATAATAATAATAATAATAATAATAATAATAATAATAATAATAATAATAATAAAACCCACGTTGCACCTTTCTCTCTCAATTTCAACCGACCGACGCTCCTCAATCGTTGTCTATGGTTGCCTTCTCCAGCAATTGTTGGGCTCTTAGCCGGCGGTCGGCCCCTTGCTGCTTGGTCATGGTCTGATGTGCCCGTTCGTCTCGTTTCGCTTTGGGAGTTGGGTTGGTTTCCTGCGGTCGGTCGGTCGCCGTTTCCGGTGTCGAGTGGTGGCCTGTGACCGTTAGCCTCCTTGTGTCTGCGGTGCTTTCAGGGGCTAGGCGTGGCTCGGGCGATTCGCGACGCTGCGTCCGGGGCTGTGGCTCCTCCTCTCTTTCTCCTTTCTCCTGAGTCTCTGGTGTTGGGACCGGGGGTGACCGGTGCTCCGTTTTTGCTAGTGGTGTTAGCCGGCTCGGGGCAGTGGTCATGTGGGGGGTGAGTTGTGTCTCCAACGGCGAGGGGTTGGGTCTACACTCAGTTGGGTTTGGGGCCTGGATTCCCGCTTCAGATAGGCCTTTCGGCAGTTTCGATGGTTTCTGTGGCTGCGGATGTTTCCTAAGGTTCGATTATTTGTCCACCGACTCCGTTCCGTCGATTTGCTGCGGAAGGGCTCTTTGGTAATTGTAATCATTTTGTGTCATTTTAGATGTGTTTGTCAGTTTGCTTTGTTTGATAAGATTTGTTGTTTGGTTTGGGTCGTTGGCCCTGTTTTTATGCCCGAGTGAGAGCGGGTATTATCCTGTTGGGATCGTTCACTCGGGTCTTATCTTGTTGGGATCATTTTAGTCTCCTATTTGGAAGTTAGTAGTTTTTTCTTTTTTGTGTTTTGCGTTGTCGTGAGTGTGTTCTTCCAGCGTTGCTACTTTTGGCTATAGGCGGTATTCAAATCTGTCCTTTTAGTCTTTTCAGCTTTTGGATATTTTCTTTTCGCACTTTGTGCTATTTTAATTATATAAAATCGCTATCTTTTTGA